ACGGTCACCAGGGAGACCCCGGGAGACGTGTGCTGGGCTCGGTCACATCTGCATGGATGAACGGTCACCAGGGAGACCCCGGGAGATGTGTGCTGGGCTCGGTCACATCTGCATGGATGCACGGTCACCAGGGAGACCCCGTGAGGCGTGTGCTGGGCTCAGTCACATCTGCATGGATGCACAGTCACCAGGGAGACCACAGGAGGCATGTGTTCTCCATAGGTATAGAGATGGGCTGTCTGCCTGCCTGTGTGGGGGAATGGGGAGTGGGGCAGCCTCTGATGGCTGTGTGTGTTGGACACCCAGGTGGTCAGGCATGTGAAGAATTGGAAGTAAGGGAGAGTGAGGGGGCTGGGGATACTGGCTCTGGAGTAGGTTGGAGGGCTAGGATCCAGGCCACAGTTCTTTCCCAAGCTCATCCCAGGACCTCCTGATTCCCACTCCCAACCTGCCAACCCTGCCCTGCAGGAGGACATTATCGGACAGTCAGCAATTTAGGGTGAGTCCACATCCTCTGTCCTCATAAGCCCACTCACCCTCGCCACAACCCCAGACCCAGTCTGCCCAGGCCACAAGTTAAACCTACAGGCAATGGGAGGAAGGGCTGCGTGGACAGGCTGTACCCAGGGGACCCACCTTTACCCTGCGGGTGTGGACTGCTGACCTGCCTAGACCCGGTACCCTGGCTGCAGGAGACGCCCTGCCCACTCCACCCTTGGCACTTCAGGTGCCATTGGAAGGTACCCAAGAACCCCCATCTGTTTCAGGGGACCTCCTGCCCACAGTGACTGTCTCTCCCCTCCTGGGGCCCCATGGAAAGTGCTCTCCCTCGCGGAAGGTTCCTGTCTGTTCTGCTTCTTTCTAGGGACCTGTGGGTGTGCCACCCGGGCTGGGGTGCGGATCCCTAACAGAGAGGAAATGGAGGTGCCACCTTGAACAGCAGTAGAGATGCACCGGTTTTTACTTGTCCCCCAGGAGGGGACCTATGCCAGGCGAGGGGCATCTCAGAATGTTAGCAGTACTGGGTTCTGGATCCCCAGAGTTGGAGAGCCTGAGACTTTTGCTGCCAGCCCAGTGGGGTTTCTGGGTCCTGCACTGAGAGCAGAGCTGAACTAGCCGTCTGACATCTCCACCAAGGACAGTGTTGGAGTGCAGTGGATCTCAAAGGGAAGGGTGGGCCCTGGACTCCCAGCCCCCAGGAGCAGTTGCTGCAGCCCAGCCGGCTCAGGGCCAGCTCTGGCTGACAGGAGAGCAGGCAGGGTCTCTGGTAAATCTCGAGTCATGCCCAGGCGTGCTGCATGTCCCCACATGTGCTACTCACCGCGATCTCCTCTCCGAGTGTGGCAGAAGCGCTGTCCTGGCTCACACAGTGGGGCCAGGCCGGAGCCCCTCCCCTTATTTTATAGCCCTACAGAGGATACATGGACGCCCCCAGACGCCCTCCCCAAGCCCGTCTGCTGTCCTTGATCGTATCCACCTCCTGCACAGGGTGGCATCAGGAGAGGCCTTTATTTTATTTTATTTTTAAAACTCATCAGCGACGTGATTTGTTCCTTCCTGGATTATATAATTTCATTTGGGCCAAGTGGTTTTAAAACACATTAGTCTCCCTCCTTCACGCTCGCCTTCGGGCAGACCGCAGAGTCGAGTGTCACCTGGTCCATCCAAGTGCGGAGCTGCCAGCCGCACCTTAACAGGACCGTGTCCCTGCAGGCGCTGCTCCCCCCTTTCCCTTCCTCCTCTTCTTTGAGACTTGGTGCTCAAGGGAAAGGTGAGAAGAAAAAGTCACCTAAACCTACTGCTTTTTCTCGAGTCTTGTAACCTGTCTGGGTCTTTGTTCTTTCTCCCCCCGGCTGCTGTGACGACGCGCACACCATGTTCATCCTGATGCTATAACTTACAATTTCCCAAGGCTTTTGCAGTCTTCAATTTACACTTAACATAAACACATTTTTTATTATTATAGAGCAAGTTTAGCTGGGAGTTGTGGTGGGCGCCTGTGGTCCCAGCTACTTGGGAGGCTGAGGCAGGAGACTCGCTTCAGCCCAGGAATTGGAGGTTGCTGTAAGCTGTGATGCCACAGCACTCTACCCAGGGGGACAGTTTGAGGCTTTGTCTCTAAAAAAAAAAAAAAAAAAAATTCTGGTCTCTCTGGGTGTGACCTTACTTGGTTAAGATACACGAGGTTTTTGATACATCCTGCATTTGTTTCCCTGATACTTTATTTAGAATATATGCATATGTATTGTAATCTGTTGCCTCTATTTTCTTTTATTGAGTCATAAACACATAGATCATGTATACATTGATTCCTTTATGTTGCCTCTATTTTCTTTCTCACACTCTTTGGTATCATGGTTTTATTAACCTTTAAAAAGAGGAGCAGAACTTCCCTTTCCTGTTCTCTGCAGGAGTCTGTGTGTGGACAGGCGTGCCAGGGCTGTCTGGAGTCCTGTGGGGGTGGGTGGGGGCTGACGGGGGTGGCAAGGTGTGGGGTGGGGGCCCGGCGAGGAGCAGAGTGCGGGGGGAGGGGAGGAGACAGAACCTGGAGGTCCCTGCAGTCCACCCCCTCAGCCTGGCTCCTGTGGGTTCTGTCCTGGCTTAGTCAGGGTAGGGAAGGTCTTCCAGGCCTCACGTGAACTCACCCAGCTTTGTGGGCTGTAGGGTCTTGGTTACAGCTAGTCAACTCTGTCCTTATAGCACAAAGGTAACCACTGGGGACATGTGGATGAATGGGGGTGGCCGCGTTCCCATAAAACCTTACTTATTAAACAGGCCGCAGCTGGTTTGGCCCGGGGCGCCATGGCTGCCCCTGGTCTAGAGCCCTGGCCAGCAAGTTATGTGGAACAGGTGTGTGGTGGGTGTGGGGTAAACCCCCACAAAAATTAAATGAAATGTGCTCTTTTAATTCCAGAACTGAGCGAAAAGACTTGTGAGTATTATGCGCTTTTGTCGAGGCCCTAAGCGACCTGGGAAAACACGGTGGGGGCCTGCAAGCCAGGCGTAAAAACCTCTTAC